GAGCGCGGTGCGGAGACACGCGGTTGGGAGCGAAAAAGCGCCATTTGGTTGGGAGCAGATGGCTGGCTGGGGGGCTGATCGCGTCTAAAGGCGTGTCATCCCCCTTCAGCGAGAATCCCTAAGGGCTCCCCTTGTCTTCGAAATCAATGAAAATTAAAGTGCAGAGAATGGATGAATAGTTAGACCTCGAGTCCCTCCTTTGTTCGCCTCAGCTACTGGTGGGCAGGAGTTAAACTACAACAGCCTCCTATAGAAACACTTAAGTTAAACAGTCTCCCCGTTAGCCCAGCATCTGAAAGAGAGAGGGAGAGGGAGGAAAAAAGCAGAAAAAGGAGCTTTCTGCTTGATTTCCCCAATACAGAATCGCGTGGCATAAATTAAGCCGGAGAAGAATGAGCGCCGTGGGCAGGATCCTGCCGGCTCTCACGGCGCCTTTCAGTCACGCTCAGCAGCGGTAATCGAGAAATCTGTGCCACGTCAATTTAACAAATACCCGGTACCGAAGGGGGGTTGTTAAGGATTTGGGGGCAAGTTTTCTTGGGTCTTTTTTTTTTTTTTTTTTTTTCCCTATTGCAGAGTTAAAGCCCTCGCGCGTGTAACTTTTTATTTCCAGTTTTCTAAGCAAGAGGATGCTAATGGACCAACTATCTATCTCTCGTAGATTAAAAGATCCGCCGTGATATATCACTTCTCCTCTCTACCGACGGGCTATCCCAAATTTCAAGACAGATGCTCCCCCCCCCCGATTGGGAAACGCGTTACGGAGTGATTCTTCCCCTTCACTCTCTCCCTTTCCCGGGGATAAAGCCGCAGCAAAGTTTGCGAAGCAGCGACAAACCACTTGAAAAGATGTTGACGCTAGGTGGCAAAAGTAATGTACGATTAAACCCGGCGCTGCTGCGGGGCGGCCTCCCGCCTTCCCCCCCGCGCCCCCCGCAGACGCCGGGCATGGCGGGGGGGGGGCGGCCGGCACCGCGGGAGGGCCGCGTCGCCCTCCTTATGCCCTCGCGATCGCTGCTCCCCTCTCTGCCCAGATACAACTCCAGAGTTAAAAAAAAAAAAAAAAAAAAGATCACCCCAAACATTCCTGTACATTTCAGCCTTCGTTTAAGCGCCAAGGGGCGGGGAGAGGGGGAGAGTACCTGGATCCTGGATGGGTCGTTCCATCAAAATTAGATGTAAAGGACACACACGTCGAGTGGCCGAATGTTGCAAAAGCCTAGATACTTGTTTAGTAGCGAGGGTACCTGCTTCGGTTTGGGGTAGGTATTACAACCCCCCCGTAAATGAACGTGGGCAGCTACGCTCCTGAAACAGTAAAGAAGAGCTGGGCTGAACGAGCTCGTTAGTGATTTTCTTTTAATTGCTATTACCCAAAGCTTTTACTTTAAGAAGTCTTTGAGATTTTTTTTTTCTTAGCGCATTGTAAGATAATTTGTGATCAAGACATCTGCTTCAATGAAAGTCACATTTTGCCATGCAAATGCACGTTTCAGCCCAATAAAGTCGCCATAATAAGGCTTTTAGCATGGCATACCTACAGTGAGGTTATTGTAGCCAAATCCTCTCCTTTCGCACACAAGCTTAATCTGTGCTGAAATGATCTGTTACAATTAAAATGACATTTACAGAGACAGTTACACCTTGCATCCTAATGAATCCGCCTGCGCCTACCAAAGGTGTTTAAACAGAGGGCCCGGACAAAGTGGAAAACCCCGCTTCGAGTGACATGCCAAAGTCGCCCTCCAACTTTTATCCCCCGCTTCCATCATTAAGAAACTGCTCAAATGGTAATCATCTCATCCCCCTTTCACGGCACCAGTAAATTCCTTTCTATGTTTTTAAGATCAAAACAAAAGTTCTAATGTCTGACGGATATGTATAAAAAATAATAAGGTGACGGTTGGTGTAAAGTTGGGTTGATTTTTTTTTTTATTATTGTTATTTATTTATTTTTACGGAGAGGGGGAAGTGCTGGAAGGGATTTCTTTAAAAAACGTGCGGACATTGTTGTAGAGGCAGTAGCGTGCGCCGAGGGGAGCTCTTTCTCTCCCTCGCATTGTGCAGGGAGCAGGTGCTGTCTACATTACCATACAGCTGAGAGCACAAAGAGCTAACTGATTCAGCCCTCACACAATAACAAACGGCCTTAATGACAGCCACGCGAACGACACACACCAAACTCACTTTTTACTAAGCTGAAGGAGGAAAAAAAAAAAAAAAAAGAGAGAGAGGGAGAGAGAGGGAGAGGTTGCTGGTGATGATGATAATAATCATAGAGGGGTACGGGACCCGGGCGGAGCGAGTGGCTCTCTCCGGCAGCGGTGCTGGCGGGGAGGGGACCCGCGGAGCCCGCAGACGGCTCCCCTCTACAGGTCCCCTCCTGCGCTCTGGCCCGCCGCCGGGACACCCCCTCCCCCCTCCTCGGGGACCCCATTTCCCTCCGCCGGCGGGATGAGCGATGTGAGCGGAGCCAAAGGAAGAGGGAGCCCTGGCTGGGTGCGCGCGAATTCTCCCCCTCCCGCCCCCCATTATCCCGGTTATGCCAGGGGAAATGCGGTGTGAATTTCAAGAGATCAGATTCCCCTTGTGGCTCGCTGCTTCCCACCTCCCTCGTCCCTTTAAAGCCGAAGATGCCCCTTGGAAATGGTCATGATCACGGAGTTACTTTTTGGGGCACGGCGGCTGCTTTGCACGTTTCAAGAGGTAATTACAGCCCGTCGTCCCCGGGGTTGTTTTCTCGCCGGAGAGTGTTGCGCTGCCTCTCGCCGGTGCAGAGGGGGTGTTACCCTCTCCCCAGAGCAGAAGGGGGATTCTTGGGGTTACCAAATTTGCAGGAATGTAAATGAGCACGTTTTGTGAGCGCGGAGGGGAGGGGGAGGAGGGTTGCACATTTTACAGCTCACTGACCATTTGGCGATCCATTGAGAGGAGGGTTTGGAAAAGTGGCTCCTTTGTGACAGCTCTAGCCAGATTGGGGGCTGCTCATTTGCATCTCATTAGGCATGCAGGCGGCCGGCGGGATATAAGGGAGGTGTATCTTTGGCGTTCCCCCCCCGGAGAGACCCGCCGAGCCGCGGCGCAGAGCAGAGCAGGGCAAGGCAGAGCAAGGCAGAGCAGAGCAGAGCAGAGCAGAGCAGAGCAGAGCAGAGCAGAGCAGAGCAGAGCAAAGCAGAGCAGGCATCCCCCTCCCCCGTAAGAACATACCCGGACACGTTCAGTGAGCCGCTATTGAGACACGAGCTTATTTTTGTTGGCTGGGATTCCTCTAAAAACAAAAGTAAACCCACAACAAGGCAAGAAAGCTTCTCTTCTTTCGA